AGCAAGCTTTTATAACTCACTAATCTTAAGATTACTTTGCTTAATTTTTTTGAGGCAACGAGTTTACATACTTTTTTTAAGTAAGGTCAACTAATTAGATTTTACAGTGTGGATGAGGTAGTGTTCTCAGAAAAGTGCCGGTCAGAGCACTGGGATCACAGCCAAGGTGGGGTTAAGGTTTTTACTTGTAATTCTGTGGTTACAGCACAGCAACTAACAATAGGCACCATCCAGTCCAATATGTGCGCGTGGTTCTGAAATAAACCAATAAAGGGAATAACGACTGAACATTCTGGAAAAGGTAAGCGAATTATGGCAGTTTCAAACACGTCCACAAGATGGCACCAAAGGATCACCAATGAACTATATAACAAGTTGGAGGTGCTCCTTTAACTTGATTAATAGCAATAACAAATTATAATTACCACATACAAATGCTGACCCACGACAAATTGCTACATCAACGATAACAGGGCATGTAAATCCAACAAGCTGCCATATAAGCAACCTGGTTAAACTACACCGACACTACACTCAACTACATTGAAAGTATAGAAAACATTACTTACTGAACGTCATACACGCACACCCGTAATCGCGGACAGGAAAATTAACTACCAAAAAGAGAGGGGCACATAAGATAATAACTATGAAATGTCTCTGGAGCGCAGGTGAACTTCTGGAACTCTTGCTCTCTGGAGGCTGTGACCAGGCAAGCAGTGTGCCATAAACGATCCAGTGCTGCTGCAGATTGACGTAACTCCCAATTCCGCTTCCGTCTTAACATCGCCGCCCCCAAATATGTACAACATATTTGTCCCCCTAAGACACTCCTGACGTGTACAGTATTATCCTGCTTAGTCTGTCGTGTCCTGAATCTTCGGCAGAGCAATGAGGCGTGCAACAGGCCGTGTATAGGTTCGGCCTGCGACCTTGATCTCTGCTGCCCTGACACACCCATCTGGTCCTGGAAATATCTTTGTGATCTTGCCTATCGGCCACTGTGAGCGTGGCAACTGCGGGTCAATGGTCATGACCACCGTGCCAACAACCATACTCTCCGAAGAAGCCTGCCACTTGTGTCGCTCCTGCAGTGTTGGGAGGTAGTATCGGACAAAAGAGGACCAGAAGCGATCTGCCAGAACTTGGCTCTGCCTCCATCGCCGCCGCCCCATAGCTTCAGGGGCTGCGTAAACCACCTGCGGTAGCGAACTGTCAGGGCATCCTATGAGGAGCAGATTGGGTGTAACCGGATCAACATCTGCAACATCTGTCGAGACATACCCCAAGGGCTTGCTATTCAGGATGGCTTCCACTTCGATCAGGACCGTGCGAAGCACCTCTTCTGTTACATGTTGGGAACCAAATTAATTCCGGAGAGCATTCTTAACTGAGCGGATCTCCCTTTCCCATGTTCCCCCAAAATGACATGCACTGGGAAGATTGAAACGAAAGGCTGTCTTCTGTCTTGCCAACTGCAGCTGTAGGTCTGGGATAAGGGCGGCAAAGGTCTAACGGAGCTCTCTCTCCCCACCATGGAAGTTGGTGCCTTGGTCTG